TCCAGCCGAGCATGTCTCTGACCACACTATCCTTTCATATGCTTAGGACAAAGAAACAGATGGAACTCCACTTCACCTGCCCTGTATCCTGCCAAGTTCAGATAGGCAACTTTATCATTCACATTAAAAAAAAATGAAAAAAAAAATATCATTGACAAATTGGTCTTGAACCTGTGCCACCCGCATGAGTGTCGACTACACTACCAACTTAGCTATTTACTCGTGCCGTCACAAGTGAATTTTTATACTATATTTTAAGTCTCCTTTTGCAACTTGATTTACGCTCATAGATCTAGATCTAAGTCTAGTAGTAGTAACTTTCGAATTAAATTTTATCTTAAATTAGCCAAACAAAGATTTATATAAAATAAAGAAGGTCTCGTTTGCTTAAGTCTTAAGTTTAGTTTTTCTTGCTAGATCTAGAATCTAGATCTAGATCTAATCATTAGCTACGCGAATAGGCCCGGAGCGAGCATTTCAAAATTACCATATTCCAAACCAAGATTTATATAAAATAATAAAGGTCTAAAATAGTTTAGTATACAGAAAATCATTATTTTCTAAATCTAGATAGAAAATTATCTATATTTTAGATCTACGACTGAGCTATATTTAGAATTTACGTTTATAATTTAGCAAAATTACCGGTATCGAAGCCGCGTATGAATCTTAAGCTACGCAAATAGGCCCTGGAATCAGCATTTCAAAATTTGCATAGTCGAAACAAAGATTTATACAAAATAATAAAGGTCTAAAATAGTTTAGTATATAGAAACTCATTATTATCTAAATCTAGATAGAATTATCTATATTCTAGATCTACGACTGGTTTGCTTAAGTCTCGTTTTTTTTGGATTGTATTTATAACTAATAAATCTTTGATTTGACCTAGATTCTAAATTCTAGAAATTTATCGTAAAACTAAATGAAAAAGACAGTTGAAAATTGATATAAGTGTTGGAACGTAATAAATACAGCAAACGGACGTATTGTTAAAGTTATGACCGACAGAAATTTAGATTTAGAAAGCGTTAAACTTTTGAATGGGAACATAATTTTCTTCGATAGACGCCGCCATTTTATTGTACTAAAGAGTAAACAAAAAACTGTGACGTCACGGTCCCGCCGAGTGTAGTGGTCGTTCTGATCTTTTTAAAAAAATAGGGTTACTCTACCTATGAATAAATCAATAAATTAATTAACGTCTTCAAATAAAGGTGTGATTAACAGTCTGACTTAAAACAAAAAAAAAACTCAACCTACATACTATTTTACAGCTCTCCACGATGAGTGCAACCATGTGCAATAGTCAATCAGCCAAACAAAAAAACAAACAAAAAAATAAATATTGAAACATGTAAACAAACTTGACTTTTAGTAGTATATAGATTATACACCAGAAATGTTTCTAATCATAATTAAAGAAACCATTCTTTTTTACTTTCTCGTAAATACGAAGTATAGAGAAAGTCTTGTAATCGTGCAAAAAAAATCGAGATTTTTACAAATCTCGACGTTTTACACCTCACTGATATGGAAAAACATAATTTTGCAATCTTGTCCGTATGTCTGTGTGTCTGTCTGTCTGTCTGTCTGTCTGTCTGTCTGTCTGTGTGTAAACACGATAACTTGAGTACCGTTACTGCTAGGTTAATGAAATTTTATATATAAGTATTTTATCAAAATCGTAGATTCGTATCAACTTTTGAGCGATTTCTGATAACCTGAAGTGGTACTTTTTCTACTTTGAATTTTTCAAAAGCCTATAACTTGAGTACTATTTCAGATAGATAAATGAAATTTCACGTGTAAGTAAAAGATCTAATTCTCTACCTTCTGTCAAATATTGAGTAATTTCCGTTGACCGGAAGTACTAATTTACGCAATTTCCGATTTCTCAAAAAATGCATGTAAATTTATAAAGTACTAATAATATTGCGCACTATTATGCACATTTCGTTTGGCGTTCCCTTGGTGCGCAATTTTTTTTTCTATGAGATTATTTTCTATTTTTAAAAGTTTAAGTAATTAAAAATCATGTCTATATTCCAAGTTATATAAGAATACTAGCCGTCCCGGCCAGGCCCTGCTCTGGCTTCTGTGAAAAACCTTTCTGTTAAAGACCATTACCTGTGTGTTTAGTTATCATCATAAACACGGCATTGCCCACCCAAACCACAACCAACCAAAACAACAAAACGCAAACATAACGCTAACACAATTACAAATACAAACAAAAACAAAAACCTAACAACAAACCCAACCACAATCACAAACACCAATACAAACACAAAGAAAAAACAAACAAAAAAGCAGACGAAAACAAAAACCTAACAACAAACCCAACCACAGCCACAAACACCAATACGAACACAAAGAAAAAAACACAAACGAAAAAGCAAACGAAAACAAACCAAATCCAAACGCAAAACCAACCACAAACACAAATACAAACACAAACCCAAAGAAAAAAACACAAACGAAAACGAAAAAGGAAAGAACAAAAACGAAACAAATCAAAACGCAACCACTAACGCAAAACCAACCTAAACACAAAGAAAACACTAACGCGAACATAAACGCAAAGTGCTCACAGTCTAGCCGGGGCAGAATCGCCTGTTTCAGCTTAATAATCGACTATAGTACCCCAACTTAGTCATAGTCTTTTGCACTCACTTAAACGAACGTAGATGCCAAACCAAAGCAAATGAACAATTATAATACTACAAGCTTATTCGTAAAATACCTACAACATTTGCACTTGATCTATCCCCGCTAATTATGTAATTATTTTTTTCCCAACACCAAAACAAAGTAATAAAAAGTAAATTCTTTTCCACTAATGGAATGTTTTATAAAGGGAAGTAATTGTGTTTTCCTAATTTATCAAAGGGAAGTAAGTGCTAAAGGACTAAATATAAATAATTTTCAGACATAATTAGAATTTTTGTTATTTTTTTAAAATTGTGTTTAATGAACATGCCAACAATTATTACTATCAGTTTGAAAAATTAAAATTATTTCCCAACACTTTCAATAGTAATTTTTTAACTGTTAAATTTAGACCATGAAATCGATAATAGTCTAACACTTAAATCCATAAAAGTATGTCAACGACAAACTTATTTTTACAAACAAATATACTGGATTCAGCTTTCTTTATTAGATTCGAGAAAGTTTAGGGGAGATCACTCCCGGTTTATTTATTAACATGTTACAAGAAATGACATTTTTACTTTCTCGTATATTAGAAGTATGCTATAGAGAAAGTCTTGTAATCGTGCAAAATAAAAATCGAGATTTTTACAAATCTTGACGTTTTACATCTCACTGATACGGAAAAACATAATTTTGCAATCTTGTCCGTATGTCTGTGTGTCTTTGTGTCTGTCTGTGTGTATGTGTAAACACGATAACTTGAGTACCGCAACAGCTAGGTTGATGAAATTTCATATATAAGTATTCTATGAAAATCGTAGATCCGTATCAACTTTTGAGCGATTTCCGATAACCGGAAGTGGTACTTTTTCTACTTTGAAATTTTCAAAAGCCTATAACTTACGTACTATTTGAGATAGATAAACGAAATTTCACATGTAAGTTTAAAATCTAGTTTTCTACCTTCTGTTAAATTTTGAGTCATTTCCGTTGACAGGAAGTAGTAATTTACGCTACTTCCGATTTCTAAAAATACTAATGTAAATTTTTAAAATACTAATAATATTGCGCACTATTATGCGCTTTTTTATTTGGCGTGCAATTCTTTTGTCTACGAGATTTTTTTCTATTTTTAAAACTTTAAGTATTTAAAATGGATTAAAAATCATGTCTATAGCCCGAGTTCCCATCCCCTGTTATTTTATATAAAAATATTCGAGAAATTTTAGGGGAGATCACTCCCGGTTTATTGCACTTGCAATGTTTTCTCACTAGCTCTTTAGTATAAAAAAATAAAATAAAATAACGAACATTAAATGAAATATTTTAACAAATTGTCAAGATTTTTTCCTTCATCAAAAGATGTAAAATTATTTCTTGCATAAAATGTTTAAAACAAAAACGTAGCAAATTTATTCGCTAAATAAAGCATCAGATTTAGATTATTGTATAGCAAATTTTTAACTTGATATTAGATTCTAACTAATTCTAAATCAATATTAAACTACACTAATATTGTAATTGATAAAAAGAAAAAAGGAATTGATATTTTGGTTTCAAAATAACTCACACATGAGATGTTTTAGAATAGAGTCATCGAGTGAGCTAAAAAAAACATGTGTATATACGAGAAAAAGTGAGATATGAGTAGCCGGATTAACGGATTTAAATAAAAAAGAAAAACATACAACGGATCTAGTTAATAACACAACTCCTTTCTGAAACGCTCTACAGTTAATTTTTTTCAATTGGAATCAAACATTACAAATGCATTAGGTTTATTTATACAACGTTAAAAAAACAAGCATTCTAATTATCACCAAACAATTTGTCATTGTTTCACAACTCTTTTTTAGTTTGGAGGAAGTGTACAACTGTTTAGTAAAATAAAAAAAAAACCCAGTAAAAATTGAATTGTTATTAAGAATAATACTAGGACAATTGTTTAGATCACTGGATAATTTCTAACAGACGTTTTGTACTGTGTTATCACTGTCATCGATATTGTTGTATTCGCTGCATAGAGGAAGTGTTGGTAATATAAGTACACACTAGAAGATATGTGACACCAAAACTAAGTGGGGCAAACTAGGAGAGAGTGGAAGAGAGAGAGAGAGAGAAGGAGAGAGAGAGAGAGAGATGGAGATGGAGGAAGAGAGAGATAGAATGAGAGAGAGAGGGACAGAGAGAGGGAGAGAGAGAGACTTGTTACTTAACGAAACATGTGTCTTCCAGGAGAAGAACATGCTTCTTGACCAGGCCTCAGAGAGAAAGAGAGAGAGAGAGAGAGAGAGAGAGAGAGAGAGACTAGCTACTTGCATTTGTTTTCCAGGAGCAGTACATGTTCCTGCACCACGCTGCGCAGGCTAGCGTCGCCTGTACAGGCAGCTACACACACATCAGCGCCATCTGTCTCAAACTACATCTCATGAGGAACCTCGTCGACGGGAAAAATAATTTTGAAAATGAATTCAATGTAAGTTTGTATTCAGTGGCTTTGTTTCTTCGTATTCTGATTGTAAATAAAAATATTTTGATGAAAACATCAATGCTCAATGAATAATATTTTTTTCGATTGCCAACACTCGGCAGCTCTTATTATGCGGGGGTATGGTTCCTTACAACTATATAATATGTTTAATAAATTATGATTCCGACTATCAGATACAACCAGTATAGTGTGCCGGAATATCTCAAAGGAATACTATGCATTATCTTTTGTACCAGATTAGGTTGCCGAAACATAAGTAAAAAAAGCATATTTTGTAGTCATATCACTTAATAGACTCCATTTCCTCATCTACATTGGTTGCAGCCTCATTAGCCTCGGGGTAATGTGCTTGGGTCAGCCAACCTAACCTTAATAAGAATTAGTTACACATTACCTACTGTTAAACATGTGCTTTTACAACATGATTTTTATTCAAGTAAATCACTATTAAATTGGTGTTCAATACCCATTATTTCAGAACCTGTTTAGTTTTGAGACACAACTTACTGGTGGTGTAGGGGACGTTACCCAAGATCCAAAAAGTAAAAATAGATTCTTCATTATACCAGGTAAGTGAATACCAATAGTAAAAATAGATTCCTCATTATACCAGGTAAGTGTATACCAACAGTAAAGATAGATTCAGAAATTCTATCAGGTAAGTGTGGAACATGAGTAAGATGGATTCACCAATCTAGAATCTAAGTATGTAAGAGGTGTAACACAACATTCGACATTGCACCAGGTAAGTGTGCAACGACATTAACTATAGTAAGTGTGAAAATAGATTTTATATTTTACTACTAAGTGTAAAGACAGATTCAACATTCTACTAGTTAAGTGTAAAAATAGGCACACCATTCTATCACTCAGCGTAACGACAGATTAAACATTCTACATAGTAAGTGTAAATATAGAAACACCATTCTACTTGGTAAGAGTAAATTTTAGAATCGATATTCTACATGGTAAATGTAAATAAAGAATCGACATTCAACCTAGTAAGTGTAAATATAGAATCGACATTCTACCTAATAAATAAAAATATAGAATCGACATTCTACTTGGTCAGTGTAAGTATAGATTCGACGTAAACGCAATCGCAAACACAAGCGCAAACGCAAGCAAAAACGCAAACACAACCGTAACACAAAAACAAAGACAAATGCAAATGCAAATGCAAATGCAAATGCAAATGCAAATGCAAATGCAAATGCAAATGCAAATTCAAATTCAAATTCAAATTCAAATTCAAATTCAAATTCAAATTCAAATTCAAATGCAAATGCAAATGCAAATGTAAATGCAAATGCAAATGCAAATGCAAACGCAAATGCAAATGCAAATGCAAATGCAAATGCAAATGCAAATGCAAATGCAAATGCAAATGCAAATGCAAATGCAAATGCAAATGCAAATGCAAATGCACAAGCACAAGCACACGCACACGCGCGTGCAAATGCACAATCACAAGCACATGCACAAGCACAAGCACACGCACACGCGCGTGCAAATGCACAATCACAAGCACATGCACATGCACATGCACATGCACGTGCACATGCACATGCACATACACGTACACGTACACGTACACGTACACGTACACGTACACGTACACGTACACGTACACGTACACGTACACGTACACGTACACGTACACGTACACGTACACGTACACGTACACGTACACGTACACGTACACGTACACGTACACGTACACGTACACGTACACGTACACGTACACGTACACGTACACGTACACGTACACGTGCACGTACACGTGCACGTACACGTACACGTACACGTGCACGTACACGTACACGTGCACGTACACGTGCACGTACACGTACACGTACACGTGCACGTACACGTACACGTACACGTACACGTACACGTACACGTACACGTACACGTACACGTACACGTACACGTACACGTACACGTACACGTACACGTACACGTACACGTACACGTACACGTACACGTGCACGTGCACGTACACATACACATACACATACACATACACATACACATACACATACACATACACATACACATACACATACACATACACATACACATACACATACACATACACATACACATACACATACACATACACATACACATACACATACACATACACATACACATACACATACACATACACATACACATACACATACACATACACATACACATACACATACACATACACATACACATACACATACACATACACATACACATACACATACACATACACATACACATACACATACACATACACATACACATACACATACACATACACATACACATACACATACACATACACATACACATACACATACACATACACATACACATACACATACACATACACATACACATACACATACACATACACATACACATACACATACACATACACATACACATACACATACACATACACATACACATACACATACACATACACATACACATACACATACACATACACATACACATACACATACACATACACATACACATACACATACACATACACATACACATACACAAACACATACACATACACATACACATACACATACACATACACATACACATACACATACACATACACATACACATACACATACACATACACATACACATACACATACACATACACATACAAAAACACATACACATACACATACACATACACATACACATACACATACACATACACATACACATACACATACACATACACATACACATACACATACACATACACATACACATACACATACACATACACATACACATACACATACACATACACATACACATACACATACACATACACATACACATACACATACAGATATACATACACATACACATACACATACACATACACATACACATACACATACACATACACATACACACACATACACAAACGCAAACGCAAACACAAACGAAAACGCAAATATAAACACAAGCATAAACACAAAACAAAACGCAAACGCTATGGCAAACGCATCACTTAAACGCAAACACAAACGCTAATGCAAACGCAACACGCAAACGCAAACAAAAATGCAAACACAAAATAAAATATAACCGCAAACGCGTTATTAAATTGCTTAATCAAACAAACGGCCGTGTATTCCATTAATTATGTTCTTACTGTCGTGAGTTGAAATGAAGCTTGAGAAACGAAGAAAAAGTAGCTATACTGTTGACTGACGAACGGAAGTAGCGAAATGACACAAGCGGCTTATACTATAAATTATTTCTGATCAATTAACTAATCTATGTATTGTTTAGACAAAAAGTATCAACCTCTTTTACAAGTGGATTCCCCCGGAGAAGAGGGCTATATCAATGCTGTCACATTACCTGTAAGACTGTTTTTTCGCTTAGTTTTTAAATGTTTTTAATTGTATACAATCCTTATATCTAAAAGCCCATTGCGCACTTCTCTCTCTCTCTCTCTCTCTCTCTCTCTGTTCGCAATATTTTTGAGGCTATATAATCAGTATGTTCAGCGATATATCGAGCACTTAACGATACGGACTTTTGTTGAAAATAATATAGTGGATGTTATAAATGTACAAACTAATTTTTATTTAATGAAAGAAAATAAAAATTTAGCAATATACAATTGTAGAAACACATTATAAATTGAAGAGCCCAGTGCTAAAAGTACTTAAGTCACATTTTTGTGAAAATCAAACCAAGCATTGATCGTTATTCCTCTAGTTTAACTTTATCTTATAAACAAATAGTGATACTGAAGAATGTATTTAATTTGCTCTTCCAAACAAACAAATAATATAAAAACGTAATGTTTCATAGTAAATTTTAATCTTTGAACTCATTTTTCTCAAAATGTTGTTTTTGTGACTTAAGTACTTTTAGCACTAAGGTCTTCAATTATGCAATCGGAAAAGTGTTTATGGTTGTGACAAGATTGACTTGTTCTTGATTATTGGGCTATTAATGATTTGTTCTTGATTATTGAGCTAACAATAATTTATACTTGATTATTCGGCTATTATTGATTTGTATCCCATCTAAAACCAGAGCCTGTACACCCAGACCAAACAGTTTCTGACCCAGCTTCCCATGCCCACTACGGTCAATGATTTCTGGAGACTGGTCACACAGTATAAAGTCTCCTTGATTGTTGCTTTTAAATCCTATGAAAAGGACAAGGTAGGTGTATGTGTGTGTGTATGTGTGTGTGTGTTGCAGTAAACGTAAATTTTTGAAAATCCTACGGTCCATGGAACAAGAGAATTAGAGTAGACCAGTTGCAGTATAAAGCGATAATGTGGTTATTACTATGCCGAACCGCCTTTAGATTCCTTAACGTGAGTCAGGTACCCATTAAAAGCTGAGTGGACTCAAACCAGGGATCCGAACTCGAGGCTCGAGTTATCAGTTAACAGCTCTACCATTTAACCTCTATCCTAATTGAGTGCTGTAGTGTAGTGTTTTATGCCAGGTTAAACATTAATAATAGAAGCTATTAATAGAAGCTAATAATAGAAGCAAATAATAGAAGCCAATAATAGAAGCTAGTAATAAAAGTTAATAATAGAAGCTATTAATAGAAGTTAATAATAGAAGCAAATAATAGAAGCTAATATTAGAAACTAATAATAGAAGCTAATAATAGAAGCTAAAAATAGAAGCTATTAATAGAAGCTAAAAATAGAAGCTAATAATAGAAGCTAATAATAGAAGATAATAATAGAAGCGTTCTGTGTCGAATTCGGCTTGTGACCAGGGGTAAGAGCTTGGTTCAGATGTTTAAAAATATATCGAGCTGTATATAGGTACCCGACTCAAGCCAACCAAACATAAAATATGGTGAAAGGCTTACAAGTAACTGAAGAAGCCGAGACGGAATGTTGACTTGATGAGGTGGACTGGAAAAATCTGATGTTGTCACTTCTGCAGCGAGTGGTTTCTTGACGGCCTAATATACAGTTTGTTATACCAAAATCTAAAGCACCCCAACCTTCAACGTGTAAATGTTGAAATAAAGTTAACAAAAAAAAACATGTTTTTTTTTCTCCAGTCCTTAGCTATCTACTTACCTGAAGAACAAGACCAGCCGTTACAATGTGGGAACATAGCTGTCAATGTCGAGTCAGTAACAACAGCACCAACATGGACAGAAATGAAGCTTACCGTTAAGGTAATGTTGCACAATACACTGCTGACATCTTACACGTTGTTTGAGAACTATATAGCGTACGCTTTTCATCATTGAAACGCGAAATATGCAATTAAGATGTTACACAAAAATACATTATATATATATATATATATATATATATATATATATATATATATATATATATATATATATATATATATATATATATATATATATATATATATATATATATATATATATATATATATATATATATATATATATATATATATATATATATATATATATATATATATATATATATATATATATGTAACTATTAAAACATGCATATACATATATATACATATACAGATATATATATATATATATGCATAGAAGTTTGTTTATATAAAATATAAATGTTGGTGTATATTAAAATGTCTACATAGTGTTTATGTTTGTGTTTCGGGATTTTTAAGTTTACTAGTATTAAAATGCTGCTTTGAATTTTTCATTTTTCACCAATATTTTTTACAATGTAAGAAAGGACACTGTAGCTCGAACTTAATTTTAAAAAAAAACATATTTTTTTTTCCTTTCTCTTAGGGGAAACAAACGCAAGAAGTGACTCATCTCACGTTTACAGAGCGTCTTATCGAACCCAAAAATCTCCTGCCGTTTGTTCAATACGCGCGATCGTTGAGAACTCCGGATAAGTCAGTAGTTTACACGTGCAGGCAAGTGTGTTGGTTATGCGTTTTATTTATTTATAGCAACCATTGGCGTAATTGTACATGCATGCATGTTTGAATTGTCTGTTGTCTTTGGTATTGAATATAAGCTTTAACTTACGCCCATCCACCACTAGCTAGACTAAATCTATAACATCAGATAGCATCGTCACCTTTAACCCCCCGACATACACAGTTCCATTAAAGTCACCAACGCAGTATATAGACCGATAGATCTTTAACTGAGACGCCGTGGTGGTGTGGTAGAGCGATCGGTCCGGACATTCCTGACTCTATCCAGGCTTGATGGGTACATGACTGGTGTTTCCGGACATTTCTGACTCTATCCAGGCTTAATGGGTACATGACTGGTGTTTCCGGACATTCCTGACTCTATCCAGGCTTGATGGGTACATGACTGGTGTTTCCGGACATTTCTGACTCTATCCAGGCTTGATGGGTACATGACTGGCGTTGGGGAAAGTAAAGGCGGATGGGGATAGTTTAGCCCCACATTCATATACCAGTGTAAAAAAAGTTATGAAATATACTCCCTTTTCCATATGGATCTTAGAACTTAAGCCTACTTAGTGTTGTATCTAGGATACGTGATACATGGTGTAGTTCCCCCCCCCCCTCCATCCATCGCCATTCTTTTTACAACAACACCAACGTAAAAGTTTACATCTACGAGTCAAATAGAAATTAAGTAAAGTGCAAAACTTACTTAACCATACTATTTTTAACTACTGTAGATAATTAGATATTTGCAGATATAACTGGAGAACTGAAGTATTATTTATAGATGACCATCTGAAGTAAACAAACTTAACTCAGACCTTTGAACTTTAACCTTATGTTTGTATTTTTAATTGTTTTTTCCAAGAAACGGTACTGAACTGAGTGGACTGGCCTATGTTGTGACAACTCTGATGGACAGACTGGACCAAGAGAACTATTTGACCGTTCCTGTTGTTGTTGGTAAAGTCAAATCCATCAGACCGCACGCCATTCCTACACTTGTAAGTCTAACCAATTATTTTCTTTATCTTACGTTGTCCAAGTACTTGTGTACATTCAATGTGTGCCAATCTACACTTTGCAAATGTTTTCGATTTTTTTTTCTAATTTATGCAACACATACAAAAAAGCCTATGATATATATGTTCTTTGTTTACCTACAGCAACAGTATATTCTTGTGTACGAGACAATGAAACTCTACACTGAAGCAGTGATCTCTACAGAGAGGCATCGAGCAGAGTACAGCTCAACTGTCTGATGTGTGTATGCCCTGAGTATCAACATTGGAAGTCATAGACTCTACTGTTACATATTCTGCATCGCATGTTTGTTATCATGCGCTTTCATTGAGTTTTGTTTTAATTTTTTTTAAATGCGTTACAACACTAATTTCAATTTGAACTCTTCTTTACAAATATTATTCGTATTATAATTTTCATACTTAAATATTTTTTAAAAATATGTTACAGTTTTCAAAGTATTCTATTAAACATACATTTAAAAATTGGAAATGAATTTATTTTTCTTTACACAGTGTTTTACTATCTTATTTTTAACATTTAATTAAATGTTTAAACTGGAAATGTAAAAATTGCAACTTAATTTTAATTTGTAATGAATAATGCGTTTGACATGGTTTAGTAGCGTATACAACGGTTATAAGTGCAGTTAATGTTAATCATTGTGGCCAACTTAGATCAACAGTACAGTCATCGTATCCATCACTATTTTCATGTGCATGCCAGGTAAACTTTAGGATGTATTTAAATAATAAGACGTCTCCCATTTCATTATAAACAACCTATTGTTGTAGGCAACTACAAATAGTGTACATGGTGTTTTGTTAAGTTCTTACGTAACATTAGCTGAAACACAAATAAACATCACATTTCAAAATTAGAATACGGTATCTAATGAAACGGTATTACAGAAAAACAACTTTTGCTTTATAAAAAATGCAGTATTATTTTATAGTTTATCTTTCCTTGAGTAAAATGTTTTTATTTCTCTATTAACAATTGTGTCATGAGTTGTGTAATATTTTTTTCACGGCTTCATGTTGTACAGTAATTAGTTGTACGTATCACATGCTTCGTTAATGGAAGATAATTTTTTTCACACTTCTCTGTCATGGTCGGGGTGCCTATTTTGTAGATAAAAGGTCATTATTACTATGGTGAAATTAAAGTAACTTACGTCACCATAAGACCTTAAAATACATACGAAAATCTCCATATGAGAGAATCTGGATAAAGTTAGGTACTGTCCACACTGACAAAATAGGTCACAAGGGCATTAGAAAATGGCTGCCGCCGGTCATCAGGAGAAAAAAAGTATAATGTTGTTTGAAAAACGGAGGCAGTTGGTAAACCTAACAGGAGATCTTTACTGATTCATAAAACCTTTGTCAAATACCAAACACATGAAAAAGGTGAAAGGTACAAAGGAATCGACTCTAACTCTAATAGTTGAACTGTGAAAGTGGGGATAAATAGACTGTCGACTCCCACCTTTTGCCTTTACCCACAAGTTAGAAGTGATTCAGGCGGTGCTGCCATTCACTAACAGAATTGAAGCATTGATGCGTAACGGCAAACAACAGAAAACCACAGTCCAACTACCTAAAAGAACGTCCGACAAGGCGTCGGTCTGTGTTCACTTTTGGAACCTGACGGTCCATAGGGAAAGTGAAGTAGAGTTAACGTGTTTCTGTCACCTCGGCATATGAGTGGATAGTGTGGTCAGCCGCCTTTACTTTCCCTAACTCGAGTTAGGTACTCATTAGTGCTGGGTGAAATCATGAACGTTCTACCGACTTGAACTCCAAACAGTTGAGTTAGCAGTCTAGGTATTTATCGCTAGACCACGCTGTTGATGTAGCGTGAGGGTAAATAAGAAAAACAACTCACAAGCTAAACATTCAAATGACATAACACAAAGTTTTTCGATTAAAACTTTAAAAAACCGTTTTGTATACAAAACGAGCATAATTGCAATTGTTAACATTTTAAATGATTTTATTTGTAAAATGTATTAGTATGAAATATAGTTATTAAGTAGACATGTGAAGATTCAGCTAAATCAATATTTTGGGTAAAGAAAAACCAATATACAACGTGATTTGTACTGTAGACCCTGCATTATAAAAGGCCTGATTAAAATACACCCAAGTTTGACCTTAGTTACTCATGTAATGGAAAGGAGCAGACCAAAATAAATAAAATACGCTAAATTAAGTAACTAAAATTAAATTATCTTTTCTGTAGACAAGAGAGTAAAATGTAATGATTAAACATAATAATTTTTTCACATCCAGTCATTTTCTTGAGTGAACAGTATTGCGTCCCTTGTCTATGTATACATCGCTTTTACAAAAGTTTTCATATTTGTGTAGAAATTCACATGTTGAGAAACTAATTAAACGAACCATTAGCAAACCGTTACTACAGTCACAATTCAAACATTGACAGACGCGTCAGTAACGAGCACAAAATTCATCTTAAATCTTTTATCAAACTTGATGAAAAGTATGTTATAATGAGCACTTTGTGTTCATGTCGTATACAGTAAGAATAGTGAACTTAACTTTAGCTATTACTTGGAACACCAATAACGCCTCTTTCTTTCTGTTACATATCTTACACCATAAAAAGGTGTAATATTGTTTGTAAAATCTGTCTGAAGTCAATTCACCATGAATATAGTTTGGTTCTAGTTCTAGTGAACACCAGTTTTTACAATATAATTTAAATACTGAATCTATAAACACAAAACTGTGACTGTAACGAGGAGCATTAAGCTGACGGTGGATATGAACTAAGAGACGGCGTTGCCTAGGGGTGGAGCGCTAGGCTGCTAACTCGATAGTTTCGAGTTTGAATCCGGGTTCAAGTTAGTGATGGGTACCTAATTCACATTAGGGAAAGTAAAGGCGGCTGGGCATAATGCTGACCACATTATCCCTTCACATGCCGAGGTCAAGCAACATATGAACTCCACTTCATCTACCCAATGGATCGCTAGGTCTAAAGAGGAATCTTTTTTATATGAACTGAACATTTTCATTTCAAGGTATTATATTAAAAAAAGCGCTAATATTTTCTTTTATTAATTAAGTAACAGTATAAAGAGACATTTTAAAATATAATTATAAATTAGCCTAAATGATTATCTCATTCATAAAAATAGAATAAACAAAAGAAATTAACGAATCCTTTACCATTCTGTTTCTATAAAATATTAAGTTCGATAGAACCCAAATTAAAAAAAAACAACTGATGCAATTATTGATAATGTGCATGATTAGATAATGAAATTACAATTATTTATACCAGTAGACCATAGGTTAATGATAGAATTAAAGATAATAGATTATGAGCTAGTTACAGTATAGTTCAAGTAGATTTGTGTTTGTGATACAATAGTGTGAGTAGAGTTTGGATTAGTACTGTAAATAGACTTTGGATTAGTTGTTTAAGAGTAGACAAACCTATCTCGATGCAACCCATGATCTAGTACCCTTGATAAATGGGTACCATCCCACCTTTTTGCCAATTCTGACGGTCTATGGGGCAAGTGAAGTAGAGTTCACTTGTTTCTGTGACCTCGGCATATGAAGAGATAGTGTTGTCAGCACTATGCCCAGCCGCTTTTACTTTCCCTAACGTGAGTTAGGTACACATCAGAGTTGGGTGGACTCAGGGACGGTCTAGTGACTTGAACCCGGATTCGAACTCGAGACTTACGGGTTAGCAGTCCAGCTCTCTACAGCTAGACCTCTCCGTCCCAGGTTAGCCTGAGAGAATCAATCAAGCGCACACTTTTGAAAGGAATTATAAAATTAATTTTTAAGTTGGCCGAGCTAAAATGAGAGATTGAAACTTACATTTACAAATGAGTAGGCCTTAACTAATTATCGAATCAAAATATTCGCAATGATGTTTTTGCTTCTTTTGACATCATGTTAGATCTATCTCTGGTAATCCCTTAGTTTAGCGTCGGAAATTATCGGGTAATGTTTGTTGAGTTTCGGTAACTAGAGTTACGGTAAACTATCGTTTATTTGACCATTGAAATATAAATAAATTGAAAGTCGATTGTAGTAAATAAATGTTTTAATTTTTTTTAAGTTTAATCGAAAAAAGGAAACAAGAATAAATATAATAGTAGATTTAAATTAATAGATCTAAACATTAAAAAAACAACATATATTATTTATATAAATATAAATAATGAAGTCAAATGTTTTATGTATTTCAAGTATTTGGCTTGCAGCGGATTTGCGACCATTAATTAATTAGATCTAACTAGATATCTAGCTGCTAGGCCAAGTAAAAAAATCTAGATTACGAAAATAGTAAAAATGATTACAAAATGTAAAATGATTACAAAAATAAATCTATCCAAATTTAAACATTCTGTATAAAAATAAAAGATGACGCCAAATAAAGTATGGTTTACAGTACTTCCGGTGAATTCCGGAAGTGTGTGACAGACTTTGACATTGTTTTACTGTTTTTTACTGCTATACGATTCCGGAATAATAACCGACGCTAAACTAAGGGATTACCCTATCTCTATTATTTCTCGAACAAAAAAAATATTTTCAAATCTCTTTTTCATAAAATTTTCCTGTGTAAAATAAATCTTCATTTTAATAAGAACAAATAAACCGGAAGTGATCTCCCCTAAACTTTCTCGAATATTCTTATATGAAATAACAGTGGATGGGAAGTCGGGCTATAGACATGATTTTTAATCCATTTTAAATACTTAAAGTTTTAAAAATAGAATAAAATCTCGTAGACAAAAGAATCGCACACCAAGTGAACGCCAATTAAAAAAGTGCATAATAGTGCGCAATATTATTAGTACTTTAAAATTTACATGCGTTTTTTGAGAAATCGGAAGCAGAGTAAATTACTACTTCCGGTCAACGGAAATTACTCAAAATTTAACAGAAGGTAGAGAATTAGATTTTTTACTTACATGTGAAATTTCATTTATCTATCTGAAATAGTACTCAAGTTATAGGCTTTTGAAAAATTCAAAGTAGGAAAAGTACCACTTCCGGTTATCGGAAATCGCTCAAAAGTTGACACGGATCTACGATTTTAATAAAATACTTATATATGAAATTTCATCAACCTAGCTGTAACGGTACTCAAGTTATCGTGTTTACAAACGGACAGACAGACAGACAGACACACAGACATATTGACAAGATTGCAAAATTATGTTTTTCCGTATCAGTGAGGTGTAAAACAATATTTTTTTTTTGCACGATTACAAGACTTTCTCTATACATCGTATATACGAGAAAGTAAAAATATTAAGAAAACAAAAATTTAATCTCGAATACAAATGGAGAAGACATATGACGTAGTAAAAAGAATCAACACAATTTTTTTATAAACATGGCCGTAATTCACATTGTAAACTATTAGAAACCTTTTAAGGAAGACGATTGCTTATCTTGTTACTGAATGTAAACATAAGACTACGTGTATCCATAAGTATGCAAATACTTTTCCTATTTAAAGACGCTGTTAGGTATAAAAGAAATCTGTAACGTGCTTTATTTTACACAAACAGTAAGTCAAAAATAGCTCCTAGTCGGAGTCTAGATCTAGAATGAAATTTATTTATTCCCTTGATCTATATCTATAATTTAGAAACGACACTATTGTATAATGAAGGATGCCTAAGAACACATCCCTTACATTTTAAATTAGCCAGAGAACACAAAAGTTACCCTATCGGACCATCTGCGAGTCAGTTGAAGTAGAGCTCAGCTATTTCCGTGGCCCAGGGGATAGTGTGGTCAGCACTACGCTAAGTCGCTTTTACTTTCTAAACATAAGCCAGGTACCCTAAACAGCTGGGTGGACTCTGGGACGTATTAAGTCTGGAGTCAAATTCGAGATTTTGTCTTATCAGTCATGCGCTGTACAATCCATTTCCTACAGGTACAGTTTGATAACCTCTACCTCATTTAATTAGATAATTTATTGATTGTTTATCCCCATTTGCGTTTGTATAGCTCGTCAAAAAAGAAGACCCGTTCATATTGTTGACATGAACTAAAAACGTGTTTATGTTATAATTATATAATTATAATTAGTCTTCAGAAACAAATTTAATCCTTCTTAATATAATTAATAAGATGTATATGTAAGAATTAATGTTATAGAATTTTGTATGCAGATATTTTTATAATATGCTTTACTTTTAAGGCTACATATCTTTTGATTTATGATTTTAAAAAAATGTATGATTTAATTTATGATTAAATTTATATTTGTATTTATAATTACATTCAACATGTTACTCTTTTTTTTCACTTCGCTAAACCACTTTGATTGGCTATTTCATTCAACGTGAGTTATGCTCGGTGGCTTTCTATCCCCTCCTACCACCCCCCCCCCCCCACCCACTCACCGCGTTACTAAGCCTTTAAATATATGAAAAAAAAGATTTATTTTGATATTTTTAAAAGTCAGCGCAACCTAATTATTTAAAGTTTGGTTTTAATTAAATAGCAAAATAATTTTGTTTTTAGCTTGTTTTAAAATTTGGTTTCGTTATCGAAATACTTAAAAGCATGAAATGTGTCCAGTCTTTAGAAAATCGTTAAAACCACACACCTATGCTTTTATTATAATACATTTGTAAAAAAAATGATGTCTCGAGTATTTACCCTTTTGCATGTCTTTAAATCTTTAGATTTATAATATAAGGTTTTGGTATTTCTTAAAACGGTTAATGTTTTACTGAGTGAAAATGAAATAAAAGTGTCCGAAATTATTTAACGATCGCTCTTAAACTTATGCGAAGTATATGTTTATCAACAGCATATTAAATATTGAAGGTTCAAATGTACATATATTACAATTCAATATTACTGCTACGTTTTTATATCTACGTTTGAAAGAGTATTAGATAAAACCAGTGGCGTAGCGAGGTCGGGTGTCACCTGATGCGGCACTTCCCTCATAAAAACTTTCAAATCTTCGATTTGCACCCCCCCCCCCCCCCCCTCGAACTTTCGATTTGCAACCCCCTCAAGTTTTTTTGTATATATTTTACTATTTTTAGCCTTGGTGTCACCCCCCTAAATGGTGTCACCCGGTGCGGTCCGTACCCCCCGCCCCCCCCCCTCGCTACGCCTCTGGGTAAAACTAATAATAGTGATACACTATCATATACACTATAAATACAGCTCTGATAGTTTAATGTAATAGCTTTGGAAAACAGCTGAAAACATACAGCTCTATTTTTATTATATTTAACTATTTTTTTTTAACTGTCAGCTTGGCCTCCAAATCGACACTCACAAATGATATCCGCTTTTGTACAGTTTACAGTTTTTGTTGGAGTCTCTTTAGGCGCACCGGCTATAAGTAAGTTGAATTGATGTACACATTGTGAGGAATCGTAGTACTTGAGGCGACACCATTGGCTTTAAACAAGTTCATACTTTATATATATATATATATATATATATATATATATATATATATATATATATATATATATATATATATATATATATAATTAAATATATATATATATATATATATATATATATATATATATATATACATAATATATATATATATATATATATATATATATATATATATATATATATATATAATATATATATACATAAATATATATATATATATATATATATATATATATATATATATATATATATATATATATATATATATATATTTATGTATATATATATATATATATATATATATATATATATATATATATATATATATATATATATATATATATATATATATATATATATGTATATATAAATATTATGATATAATATCTGTAGCCCAGATAGTTAGGATTAAAGACTTCCTAATTCAGTAGATTATCTGATTAGGATTTAAGCCTGGGTTTTTGTCCTCCCCCCTCCCCTCCCCCACAGAATGTCCGTCCGGCTGGTTCGGCTCTAAGTGCCAGTATATGTGTCACTGCATGCCAAGAACGCCATGCAGCTTTAGAGGGGATTGTGAATACGGATGTGATTACGGCTACTTTGGCTACAAGTGCCAGTATGGTAAAGTAGATTCAAGTAGAATGGATCATATTAAATAATTCGTTGATAGTATTTTATCTGTAATTGCAACCTTTATTATAATATTTTTGAAATAATGTAGATTCTATATCATGATCAGCAATATTAAGTAATATTTAAATGAACTATGAGAAAAGTGATACTATTATTACTATAGTATAAAATTTACTTTTTCTGTATTATAGCAAACCGTACAACAGCTTGACTGCTAACTCGATAGCCTCGGGTTCGTACCCCGGAGCTCGAGTCTGTATGACGTCTCTGAGTCCACCCAGCTTAAATGGGTACCTGACTCCTATTAGTTGAATAAATGCGGCTGGGCATGAAGCTGACCACATTATCCCCTTGTTCCGAGGTTATTGAAAACAGGTGACCTCCACTTCATCTACCCCATGTGTCTACTGAAGGGAAACAATGATGAATGTGAATTACAAAACATAAAAATCTTGTCATCTACCTCAGAATGAATGTTAACTGAAATAGATCTGTGTATATTTAAAACAGAAAACGATGATGACAGTACAGAACATTGCCTTAGATGTGATAGCTAGATTATTGATTATGTAGAACAATGATCTAAGCCATAATAACATTTCGTTTGTAATATTAATTTTACTATTTCATGTATACATGAATGATTATTTTTCAACAGTGGATTACTTTAGGTCTCTAAACCCAAATGTATTTGTTGATTTGAGTGCGTGTGACTTCGCTCGTCTAGTAACACACCATTTTGATCTGACTCACTTTTCGTGGGCCCGATTTAGTTTTGAAAGAGGTATTCAAAAGTAGATTTTAAGTTCTTAATTTTATTTAAGTGCTGTCAATTCCAAATATGTTACATAACTACAAATTTAATATAATACTTACGTTTATAATTTCGTTAAAATAACTGAAAAAGTTATAGCGTTCACAGGAAGACACTGTGACACAAACACACAGACATAACGACAAACTGTAAGACAATTTTTATTTTCTGAACTACGAGGTTTTTATAATCTTGAATCCTAGTTGTTGTTTTTCTAAATAATAAATCCATTCTATTTTTTAAAATTCAGATGAATTCCCAAGTACTATAAGCATCTATTTCAAAGCCGACGTTGGGGATCCTCTTGAATGCGAAAGTTATTACCTCTCCCACCTTGATAGAAACGTGTTTGATTTCTATTGCCAGCCATTCTTGGATATACGGCGACGGGTGCTTTCATCCACGTTTGACCAGATTGGCTGCAGGATGTATTTCAGTCGAGGTCTGTCACTGGTGTTTCGTTCACATTTTAACTAGTGATTGACATAGGGGCAGAGTTTCTTCCAGTTTCTTACCGCCCCCCCTCCCCCCGAACGGAATGAAATTTATATAATGTATATAGAAAATATATACTTTTAACAGTGTCCGCAACACCGAAGAAAGTTTACCGCCCCCCCCCCCCCCCCAAATTTCAAGTGCCCCCCCCCCCCGTAGAAAAAAGTCTGGAAGAAACACTGCATAGGGGTTTCTTTTACTGCTTTTATCCAGGGTGCTGCCTAGGATTATTGTTCAAGATGAATTAAACAATTGAAAACTACATGCATTTACCTTTAAGTTGATACCAATTTTAATAATTAACATTTGTCTTCGGTAGCTTAGAACTTGATTTAAAAAAAATGGCTACGATTTTATGACTGTTAGGTGGGTTAGTTTTTAAGGAATGTTGTTGTGACGCGAGATCAGTGGCGTAGCCAGGATCGTCTCAAGGGGGGGGGGTTCCAATTTTTACCCGGGGACAAACTTTCGATTTGCACCCCCCCCCCCCTCAAACTTTCGATTTGCACCCCCCTCATACTTTTTCTATATACCAAGGGGTCTATGGGGGGGGGGGGGTTATGAACCCCCCCTAACCCCCCCCCCCTGCCTACGCCACTGGACGCGATTGACCGTTCTGCCTACATTCTTCCCATTCTAACACACTGCAGGCCTAAAGGGCTGTCTTGGTTGGCTGTTGACTCGATCAAATTAAAATTTTAATGAGTTTTTTTTTGTTTATCCTGATGAATTTTTTAAATTAATGCGATTAGTTTAGTAAGGCGTAATATACAATTTCCTACATGTCATAATGTTTGTGCGTTGTCAAAATAGTATTAAATACAGAAATCAATGTTTTTATTCCCTTTATGTTCTGCTGGATATTCTCAGCTATTTGACAAAAAGATATGTATAAAAGGCTAGTCCACATCAAAGACTAATCACCAATTGTTAAAACAAGATAGGTCTCGCTGAATAGCACGCAAAAATAACGATTAAAAATATGTTAGAAATAACCATGAAAAATGTTGAAAAATGAAAACGGAAACCTGATATCTTCGTTCTCTGCGGCCATCATTACCGTAAAAGTAGGTCAAGCGATAGCCTACTTTAATTCAGTCGAAATTTTTATTTTAGGTCTCTTATTAAATATGACATTAACATTTAGCTTACATTTTCCTTTTCATGTGTTTGGCTTTCTTTTCGTACTACCTTTTCCACTTATGAAAACAAACATTGTGAATTTGCATTATAATATCCTTATAATAATTTAAAAATTTAAAGTTAAACTTAACTATGATCTTCATTTCAATCCAAACCTAATCTCTGGAACTTGTATATTCCATATGTGCTGACCATAGGAAGAAACCTGGCTCTAAAACAGCTGAGCACAGACGCCATCACAGTGGATGGGAATACAAGCAACTCCAATTGTTTTAACTCTAGTGACTGGAGAGGTTCCTTCGCTAGACCGTCTTATATAAATAACATCATCATCCACACCAACGATGGTGAGATATTCTTTTTATTATACAAAATATAGTTCTTTACAGTAAAATAGAACATGTTTCAAAACATTACTTCATTCGCAGCCAAAAAGTTTAGATTTCTATTTTATTAGACAGAAACTGGTCCTTCACAGGGAACATATTTAGCTATTGTTTATACGAAATCTCATCACATGCATCAATAAAGATGAGATTTTAGAAAATCTCATCACATGCATCAATAAAGATGAGATTTTCTAAAATCTCATCACATGCATCAATAAAGATGAGATTTTCTAAAATCTCATCACATGCATCAATAAAGATGAGATTTTCTAAAATCTCATCACATGCATCAATAAAAATGAGATTTTCTAAAATCTCATCTTATGCATCAATAAAGATGAGATTTTCTAAAATCTCATCACATGCATCAATAAAGATGAGATTTTCTAAAATCTCATCACAGATGAGATTTTCTAATATATACATAATTTTCTCCCTTAACTGAGAGTTTCTGTATATACCTTTCCTAATGTACATAATTGAACAGAGGTCTTCAGAGACATATATTAATGTGGGAGGGGGGTGAAAGAGGTATAGCCCCCCTTAACCCCCCCCCCCCCCCGCAAACAAGTTTAAGGACTCTCGACCCCTCCGAAGAAACTGGACATTATATAAAGTAAATATATACTTTAAACACACTCCACCACCACCCCCCCCAATAAATTTAAACCCTCCCCTCTCACCCCCTCACGCTCCCATGAATAAAATATCGGGAAAAAAAAATCATCGTATCACAACCAGTAATTGTACGTTTCATTTGATCAATGCAGCGAACGCTAAAGTGACGTTTGAAATAAGCTATAGGTTTGCTGAGAATTCGAGCTGGGCGCAGGATTTAGACAGTCGTTTCACCCAGTACGGGCGAGTGTGGGTAACCAATGCTCTCGATATCCTAGCACTCGTGTCGGCCATAGAAATCAATGTTGGCAATGGCGAGATGTTTCCGTTTTGTGAAGTGGAGGTTATCGGAGGTGTGTTCACAGTTCAGTGGCGTAGCCAGGATCGTCTCAAGGGGGGGGGGGGGGGGTTCCAATTTTTACCTGGGGACAAACTTTCGATTTGCACCCCACCCCGTCAAACTTTCGATTTGCACCCCCCTCAAACTTTCAATTTGCACCCCCCTCATACTTTATATATATATATACCGAGGGGTCTATGGGGGTGGGGGGTTATGACCCCCCCTAACCCCACCTGCCTACGCCACTGTAACAGTTGTTCTTTTGTGATGTTTGTTTAATTCGCTTATTGTTGGGGTTATGGTTTTGGTTCTTGAGTTGTGAGTGTGTTTAATACGCTTATTGATGAGTTATGGTTTTGGTTCTTGTGTGATGTTTGTTTAATACACTTATTGTTGGGATTAGGGTTTTGGTTTATTTGTGATGAGTGTGTTTAATGCGATTATTGTTGGGGTTAGAGTTTTAGTTCTTGTGTAATGAGTATGTTTAATACGCTAATTGTTGGAGTTATGCTGTGAAAATTGCGGTGTCTACAATATATGTTTGTAAATGCAGAATTTTAAATAATAAATCAGAGAATAACAAAAAGATAATACAAATATTTCAATAACTAAAATAAAACAAATAAAAAACGATTTAAAAATTCTATGATAATGCACTATTTTTTTAATAACAATACAGAAAATCAAAGGCCATTTCTAAATTTTATTAAAGGTAATCATATCTAATAAATAGTATAGTGTACTACAATTTCTTTATAGTTATTTATTGCGATAAGGGTTAGACAGAAAACTGCACAATGAATATCTAAGTTGGACAGGCCGTTTTTTTTAAAATTTTTTTGGCAATTTCATTTGTTTTAAATGCAAGAATTTTAATAAATGATTTTCTTTACGTATATAATAATACACTAATAATTAAATAAATATATATAGTGCGTATAATAGTGCGGAATTGTAGTAGTGAGCAGCCTACTAATTTCAGAACATTTTAATTTATTCATTAAAAAATGAATTCCAATTAAGATCAATTTAATGTCTTATTGCATCGTCTTCAAGTTTTGACAAACACAACAACTTTGAAACGAATCTGTCGGTTAAAAGTGCCTGAAATTTCGCTCCCCCGTTTTGATCTATGACGACAGACAAAGGAAAAAAGTTAACTAAAAGCTTGTAGAAAAAAAAAGATGATTAATAAACACCACAATCAGAATTCAAATAGTTATGAGCCGTGTGTGTTGCTGACAATGGTCAGATATTTGCCATTCAGCTTGCTTGTTTGTCTACCACAACAGAGACCAAATGTGACAGCTTTCATTTTGGCCTGGAGTGTGAGCACGTCTGTTCTTGCCCGTTTCAGAAAAAAGATTGTGATGGTCTTAACGTGTGTAACATGCCCTGTAAAGCGGGATTGAGGGAATGTAAATATCGTGAGTAGTATTTGTATACTGTTGTAAAATTACAAGGGGATTTTATGGCAATTGAAATATAATTATCTGACGTTTAAGACATTGAAAGGAGTTTAAATTGTCTAGTTAATTTTTTGTTTATTTTGTTATATATATATATATATATATATATATATATATATATATATATATATATATATATATATATATTATATATATATATATATATATATATATATATATATATATATATATATATATATATATATATATATATATATATATATATATATAATATACATATATTCTTATGTGCATATAAATAAATGTATATTTATATATATATGTTTATATATATATATATATATATACATACATATATATATATATATATATATATATATATATGTATATATATATATATATATGTATATATATATATATATATATATATATATATATATATATATATATTATATATGCATGAGATAGGAAAGTTAATCCAAAAGTGCATGCAGCACTAAACTCTCCTTACTCAACTGCATTTTGATAAGTGTAATATTGCTCAATGTGTAAGAGATGATCCGTCTGTACATGTTTTAGTCTGCTCCAGTCGCTATTTCAACCAAGGATGTGCCACTAAGTGCCTGAGTGATTGCGGCACGGACTTGTGTCACAACGTCGAGAGCTCTTGCGTCGAGTGCACATCCACACCTAGGTTTTGCGAAAACGGTAACGTATAGGGTCCAGACATTTGGCTCCGTGGTTTCCATTGTAGAACAATGGCAATCTCTTATATACAAGACAAGCGTTCGTACGCGCGTAATTAAGTACGTACCTACGCTTGGCATTATTCATTGTTTGTCATAGAGATTTAAACGTCATGAACGGTTTGACTATCGGATACAGTTGGAATTTTTGTTGGTATGGTAAGAGGTATAGGTATTAGGGAGAACCGTCGGTTTGAGAAAGGGATAGGGATAATGGTAATGATAAGGATAGAGTTAGAATATAGAGATAGATAACAGAGATAGATATAGACATTAGACATTAGACATTAGAAGTAGACGTAGACATAGACATTACATAGACATTACATAGACATAGGCATAGGCATAGACATAGACATAGGCTTAGGCATAGACATTGACATAGACATAGACATAGACATAGACATAGACATTGACATTGACATTGACATTGACATTGACATTGACATTGACATTGACATTGACATTGACATTGACATTGACATTGATATTGACATTGACATTGACATTGACATTGACATTGACATTGACATTGACATTGACATTGACATTGACATTGACATTGACATTGACATTGACATTGACATTGACATTGACATTGACATTGACATTGACATTGACATTGATTCATGTACACACGTGTGATTGTAAATTGACCTACCAGCATTAGCATAAATTAGTTAAGAACTGAGAATATGATAATTATTTAGTATCAGTTAAATTGCTGTGTTTTGATAGGTATACACTCTATACAATTAGAAATGTACCAAAACTTTGCATTGGCTGATGAACATATATATATATATATATATATATAGGTTTTATTCTAACTTGCTACATTTTCACTCATTAATGTACCATCTCGCTTTGTAACTCAGTTCATAAATTAACCCACCTTTCAACATTATAACACTCTCATGCATGATTTTGAAGCCCTGTGGCCTGGCAGTAGAGAAAACTACACAGTCTTAAGTGTCGGGTTTGAATTCTAGTCCAAATACACAGGTACTCATGTTAGGGACCTTTTAGGAGCGTGGGCGCATAACTGACCAAGGTAGAGGAACTAACAAAACTATCCCTAAATCTACCAAGGTAGAGGAACTAACAAAACTATCCCTAAATGTACCGAGGTAGAAGAAATTACAAAACTTTCCCTAAATGTACCGGGGTAGAAGAACTAACAAAACTATCCCTAAATATACCGAGGTAGAGGAACTAACAAAACTATCCCTAAATGTACCGAGGTAGAAGAAATTACAAAACTTTCCCTAAATGTACCGGGGTAGAAGAACTAACAAAACTATCCCTAAATCTACCAAGGTAGAGGAACTAACAAAACTATCCCTAAATGTACCGAGGTAGAAGAAATTACAAAACTTTCCCTAAATGTACCGGGGTAGAAGAACTAACAAAACTATCCCTAAATATACCGAGGTAGAGGAACTAACAAAACTATCCCTAAATGTACCGATCTAGAGGAACTAACAAATTTCGCTCTAAATGTACCGAGGTAGAAGAACTAACAAAACAATCCCTAAATGTTCCAAGGTAGGGGAACTAACAAAACTATCAATAAAAGAACCGAGGTAGAGGAACTAACAAAACTATCCCTAAACGTACCGAGGTATAGGAACTAACAAAACTATCCATACATGTACCGTGGTAGAGGAACTAACAAAACTATCCCTAACTATACCGAGGTAAAAGAACTAACAAAACTATACCTAAATGTACCGTGGTAGAGGAATTAACAAAACTATCCCTAAATGTACCGTGGTAGAGGAACTAACAAAACTATCCCTAAAAGTGCCGAGGTAGAAGAACTAACAAAACTATCCCTAAATGTGCCGAGGTAGAAGGACTAACAAAACTATCCCTAAATGTGCCGAGGTAGAAGAACTAACAAAACTATCCCTAAATGTGCCGAGGTAGAAGAACTAACAAACTATCTTTAACTGTACCGAGGTAGAGGAACTAACAAAACTATCCCTAAATGTACCGAGGTAGAGGAACTAACAAAACTATCCTTAACTGTACCGAGGTAGAGGAACTAACAAAACTATCCCTAATTGTACCGAGGTAGAGGAACTAACAAAACTATCCCAAAATGTACCGAGGTAGAGGAATTAACAAAACTATCCATAAATGTACCGAGGTAGAAGAACTAACAAAACTATCCCTAAATGTACCAAGGTAGAGGAACTAACAAAACTATCCCTAATTGTACCGAGGTAGAGGAACTAACAAAACTATCCCAAAATGTACCGAGGTAGAGGAATTAACAAAACTATCCATAAATGTACCGAGGTAGAAGAACTAACAAAACTATCCATAAACATACCGAGGTAAAGGAACTATAAAAACTATCCCTAAATGTACCGAGGTAGAAGAACTAACAAAACTATTCCTAAATGTATCGAGGTTGAGGAACTAACAAAACTATCCCTAAATGTACCGAGGTAGAAGAACTAACAAAACTATCCCTAAATGTACCGGGGTAGAGGAACTAACAAAACTATCCCTAAATGTACCGTGGTAGAGGAACTAACAAAACTATCCCTAAATGTACTGGGGTAGAGGAACTAACAAAACTATCCCTAAATGTACTGGGGTAGAGGAACTAACAAAACTATCCCTAAATGTACCAAGGTAGAGGTACTAACAAAACTATCCATACATGTACCGAGGCAGAGGAACTAACAAAACTATCCCTAAATGTACCAAGGTAGAGGAACTAACAAAACTATACCTAAATGTACCGAGGTAGAAGAACTAACAAAACTATCCCTAAATGTACCGAGGTAGAAGAACTAACAAAACTATCCCTAAATGTACCGTGGTAGAGGAACTAACAAAACTATCCCTAAATGTGCCGAGGTAGAAGAACTAACAATAACTATCCCTAAATGTGCCGAGGTAGAAGAACTAACAAAACTATCCCTAAATGTGCCGAGGTAGAAGAACTAACAAAACTAATCTTAACTGTACCGAGGTAGAGGAACTAACAAAACTATCCCTAAATGTACCGAGGTAGGGGAACTAACAAAACTATCCTTAACTGTACCGAGGTAGAGGAACTAACAAAACTATCCCTAAATGTGCCGAGGTAGAAGAACTAACAAAACTATCACTAAATGTGCCGAGGTAGAAGAACTAACAAAACTATCCCTAAATGTGCCGAGGTAGAAGAACTAACAAAACTATCCTTAACTGTACCGAGGTAGAGGAACTAACAAAACTATCCTTAACTGTACCGAGGTAGAAGAACTAACAAAACTATCCTTAACTGTACCGAGGTAGAAGAACTAACAAAACTATCCTTAACTGTACCGAGGTAGAGGAACTAACAAAACTATCCCTAAATGTGCCGAGGTAGAAGAACTAACAAAACTATCACTAAATGTACCGGGGTAGAGGAACTAACAAAACTATCCCTAAATGTACCGGGGTAGGGCAAAAGCTTACTTTACTGCCAGACCTACACTGTCAATTTGCTCTAATTTGTATACATGAATTTATCATCCAACATTTTAGATCCTCAACATAGATACATGGATCTCCCGTACATTGCCAACCCGTTTATTATAGGTAGGTGTCCGATCACTGAAGATAGCATCAACTAATCTCCTACTGTTTTTTGTAAACTTCTGTAACATTTCTTATGCCGTCATTAGTTTTCATTGCATACCCTTAACAGTATTATTATTATTAGTAAGTTTTAATATATCGGTTTGATACCAAAATATTATTACATTAAGGTAAAAATATATAACTATTATAGGTGTTTAGACTGTTTCGTGATTTTCTAACATATGTTTTGACTGTATCAAAATCTGTTTAAACATTATCTATAGGCGGTCTCAAGATGATGTTTATAAATACATTTAAGAACTTACTGTTTCGAAATTTGATAAACACATTTTTTGACTTTCTCCAAGTGTGTTTAAACATATCTTTAGACGGTCTTAAGATTATATAAACTGCTTTGACACATTTTAGATCTGTTTCGAAATTTGATAAACATATTTTTTGACTTTTCTCAAAATGTGTTTAAACATACTTTTAGACTGTCTCAAGATTGTTGAAACCTATTTATAGACTGCGAACATGGAACCTACGGCCAGGAATGTGACTTGAACTGCAGCGTCAAATGTGATAATCAGACCTGTGACAGTATCACAGGCCGGTGTTTGAGTTGTCCCCCTGGATGGCGGGGAGACTACTGTGAACAGGGTAAATTTGTTTTTTTTTATTATTGACGAATCTATTCTTAAAGTTTGAGGAAAATTTGAAACATAAGAGTTTAGGACATTTTCAACACTGGAGCTCTGATATTAGCCGCTTATACATCAACAGATATTATTTTGCTATAACTGTTCTTTGTAAAATAAATCGGTGGCACTGTTAATATATTTTTTTACATTTTTAAATACGTTAAAAAAATAGGTTTATACTTTTAAAGTGATAATTTGATCGTATTAATACGTGTTCCATTTGTAAAACAGCACTTATTTGTGCTTAGGTTCGCTGACAATGCGTCGTATTTTAAATACAATAATTAATTGCGTTTATGTTCACAAACGATGCGTTATATTTTTAAAACAATACTTAATTGTAATTAAGTTCACAGGCGATGCTTTATATTTTTAAAACAATACTTAATTGTAATTAAGTTCACAGGCGATGCTTTATATTTTTAAAACAATACTTAATTGTATTTATGGGACAGGCGATGCTTTATATTTTTAAAACAATACTTAATTGTAATTAAGTTCACAGGCGATGCTTTAGATTTTTAAAACAATACTTAATTGTAATTAAGTTCACAGGCGATGCTTTATATTTTTAAAACAATACTTAATTGTAATTAAGTTCACAGGCGATGCTTTATATTTTTAAAACAATACTTAATTGTAATTAAGTTCACAGGCGATGCTTTATATTTTTAAAACAATACTTAATTGTAATTAAGTTCACAGGCGATGCTTTATATTTTTAAAACAATACTTAATTGTAATTAAGTTCACAGGCGATGCTTTATATTTTTAAAACAATACTTAATTGTAATTAAGTTCACAGGCGATGCTTTATATTTTTAAAACAATACTTAATTGTAATTAAGTTCACAGGCGATGCTTTATATTTTTAAAACAATACTTAATTGTATTTATGGGACAGGCGATGCGTTATATTTTAAGAAACAACAATTACTTGTGTTTATTGAACAGGGTGCGGGGTACAGTTTTACGGCCCAAATTGTGTGTTACCGTGTAGCCCTAACTGCACCTACAGTTACTGTAACAACGTGGACGGTACATGCATGGAATGTCCAAAGGGCAGGCACGGGGAGTTCTGTGAATTTGGTAGGTTGTTGTGTAGGCCTATCTATACACATCTCAATTGGGTAGGTTGTTGTGTTCTGGGTAGGCCTATCTATACACATCTCAATTGGGTAGGTTGTTGTGTTCTGGGTAGGCCTATCTATACACATCTCAATTTGGTAGGCTGTTGTGTAGGCCTATCTATACACATCTCAGTTTGGTAGGTTGTTGTGTAGGCCTATCTATACACATCTCAATTTGGTAGGCCGTTGTGTTCTGGGTAGGCCTATCTATACACATCTCAATTTGGTAGGTTGTTGTGTAGGCCTATCTATACACATCTCAATTTGGTAGGTTGTTGTGTAGGCCTATCTATAAACATCTCAATTTGGTAGGTTGTGATGTAGGCCTATCTATACACATCTCAATTTGGTAGGTTGTTGTGTAGGCTTATCTATACACATCTCAATTTGGTAGGCTGTTGTGTAGGCTTATCTATACACATCTCAATTTGGTAGGTTGTTGTGTTCTGGGTAGGCCTATCTATACACATCTCAATTTGGTAGGTTGTTGGGTAGGCCTATTTATGCACATCTCAATTTGGTAGGTTGCTGTGTAGGTCTATTTATCCACAACTCAATTTGGTAGGCTGTTGTGTAGGTCTATTTATGCACATCTCAATTTGGTAGGCTGCTGTGTAGGTCTATTTATGCACATCTCAATTTGGTAGGCTGTTGTGTAGGCCTATCTATACACATCTCAATTTGGTAGGTTGTTGTGTTCTGGGTAGGATATCTATACACATCTTAATTTGGTAGGCTGTTGTGTTCTGGGTAGGCCTATCTATACACATCTCAATTTGGTAGGCTGTTGTGTAGGCCTATCTATACACATCTCAATTCAGTAGGTTGTTGTGTTCTGGGTAGACCTATCTATACACATCCCAATTTGTTAGGTTGTTGTGTAGGTCTATTTATGCAAATCTCAATTTGGTAGGCTGCTGTGTAGGTCTATTTATGCACATCTCAATTTGGTAGGCTGTTGTGTAGGCCTATTTATACACATCTCAATTTGGTAGGTTTTTGTGTAGATCTATCTATAAACATCTCAATGTTAGTAGGTTGTTGTGTAGGCCTATCTATACTAATCTCAATTTGGTGTGTTGTTGTGTAGGTCTATTTATGCACATCTCAATTTGGTAGGTTGTTGTGTAGGCATATCTATACACATCTTAATTTGGTAGGTTGTTGTGTAGGTCTATTTATGCACATCTCAATTTTGTAGGCTGCTGTGTAGGTCTATTTATGCACATCTCAATTTGGTAGGCTGTTGTGTAGGCCTATTTATGCACATCTCAATTTGGTAGGCTGCTGTGTAGGTCTATTTATGCACATCTCACTTTGGTAGGCTGCTGTGTTGGTCTATTTATGCACATCTCAATTTGGTAGGCTGTTGTGTAGGTCTATTTATGCACATCTTAATTTGGTAGGCTGTTGTGTAGGCCTATTTATACACATCTCAATTTGGTAGGTTGTTGTGTAGGCCTATCTATACACATCTCAATTTGGTAGGTTGCTGTGTAGGCCTATCTATACACATCTCAATTTGGTAGATTGTTGGGTAGGCCTATCTATACACATCCTAATTTGGTAGGCTGTTGTGTTCTGAGTAGGCCTAACTATACACATCTCAATTTGGTAGGCTGTTGTGTAGGCCTATCTATACACATCTCAATTTGGTAGGTTTTTGTGTTCTGGGTAGGCCTATCTATACACATCTCAATTTGATAGGTTGTTGTGTTCTGGGTAGGCCTATCTATACACATCTTAATTTGGTAGGTTGTTGTGTAGACCTATCTATACACATCTCAATTCGGTAGGTTGTTGTGTTCTGGGTAGACCTATCTATACACATCTCAATTTGGTAGGTTGTTGTGTAGGTCTATTTATGCACATCTCAATTTGGTAGGCTGCTCTGTAGGTCTATTTATGCACATCGCAATTTGGTAGGTTGTTGTGTAGGCCTATCTATACACATCTCAATTTGGTAGGTTGTTGTGTAGGCTTATCTATACACATCTCAATTTGGTAGGTTGTTGTGTAGGCCTATCTATACACATCTCAATTTGGTAGGTTGTTGGGTAGGCCTATTTATGCACATCTCAATTTGGTAGATAGCTGTGTAGGTCTATTTATGCACATCTCAATTTGGTAGGCTGATGTGTCGGTCTATTTATGCACATCTCAATTTGGTAGGCTGTTGTGTAGGTCTATTTATGCACATCTCAATTTGGTAGGCTGTTGTGTAGGCCTATCTATACACATCTCAATTTGGTAGGTTGTTGTGTTCTGGGTAGGCCTATCTATACACATCTCAATTTGGTAGGTTGTTGTGTTCTGGGTATGATATCTATACACATCTTAATTTGGTAGGCTGTTGTGTTCTGGGTAGGCCTATCTATACACATCTCAATTTGGTAGGCTGTTGTGTAGGCCTATCTATACACATCTCAATTCGGTAGATTGTTGTGTTCTGGGTAGACCTATCTATACACATCTCAATTTGTTAGGTTGTTGTGTAGGTCTATTTATGCAAATCTCAATTTGGTAGGCTGCTGTGTAGGTCTATTTATGCACATCTCAATTTGGTAGGCTGTTGTGTAGATCTATCTATAAACATCTCAATTTTGGTAGGTTGTTGTGTAGGCCTATCTATACACATCTCAATTTGGTGTGTTGTTGTGTAGGTCTATTTATGCACATCTCAATTTGGTAGGTTGTTGTGTAGGCCTATCTATACACATCTCAATTTGGTAGGTTGTTGGGAGGGCCTATCTATACACATCTCAATTTGGTAGGCTGTTGTGTTCTGAGTAGGCCTAACTATACACATCTCAATTTGGTAGGTTGTTGTGTAGGCCTATCTATACACATGTCAATTTGGTAGGTTGCTGTGTAGGCCTATCTATACACATCTCAATTTGGTTGGTTGTTGGGTAGGCCTATCTATACACATCCTAATTTGGTAGGCTGTTGTGTTCTGAGTAGGCCTAACAATGCACATCTCAATTTGGTAGGCTGTTGTGTAGGCCTATCTATACACATCTCAATTTGGTAGGTTTTTGTGTTCTGGGTAGGCCTATCTATACACATCTCAATTTGATAGGTTGTTGTGTTCTGGGTAGGCCTATCTATACACATCTCAATTTGGTAGGTTGTTGTGTAGACCTATCTATACACATCTCAATTCGGTAGGTTGTTGTGTTCTGGGTAGACCTATCTATACACATCTCAATTTGGTAGGTTGTTGTGTAGGCCTATCTATACACATCTCAATTTGGTAGGTTGTTGGGTAGGCCTATTTATGCACATCTCAATTTGGTAGGTTGCTGTGTAGGTCTATCTATACACATCTCAATTTGGTAGGTTGTTGGGTAGGCCTATCTATACACATCCTAATTTGGTAGGCTGTTGTGTTCTGAGTAGGCCTAACTATACACATCTCAATTTGGTAGGCTGTTGTGTAGGCCTATCTATACACATCTCAATTTGGTAGGTTGTTGTGTAGGCCTATCTATACACATCTCAATTTGGTAGGTTGTTGTGTAGGCCTATCTATAAACATCTCAATTTGGTAGGTTGTGATGTAGGCCTATCTATACACATCTCAATTTGGTAGGTTGTTGTGTAGGCTTATCTATACACATCTCAATTTGGTAGGCTGTTGTGTAGGCTTATCTATACACATCTCAATTTGGTAGGTTGTTGTGTTCTGGGTAGGCCTATCTATACACATCTCAATTTGGTAGGTTGTTGGGTAGGCCTATTTATGCACATCTCAATTTGGTAGGTTGCTGTGTAGGTCTATTTATGCACATCTCAATTTGGTAGGCTGTTGTGTAGGTCTATTTATGCACATCTCAATTTGGTAGGCTGCTGTGTAGGTCTATTTATGCACATCTCAATTTGGTAGGCTGTTGTGTAGGCCTATCTATACACATCTCAATTTGATAGGTTGTTGTGTTCTGGGTAGGATATCTATACACATCTTAATTTGGTAGGCTGTTGTGTTCTGGGTAGGCCTATCTATACACATCTCAATTTGGTAGGCTGTTGTGTAGGCCTATCTATACACATCTCAATTCAGTAGGTTGTTGTGTTCTGGGTAGACCTATCTATACACATCCCAATTTGTTAGGTTGTTGTGTAGGTCTATTTATGCAAATCTCAATTTGGTAGGCTGCTGTGTAGGTCTATTTATGCACATCTCAATTTGGTAGGCTGTTGTGTAGGCCTATTTATACACATCTCAATTTGGTAGGTTTTTGTGTAGATCTATCTATAAACATCTCAATGTTGGTAGGTTGTTGTGTAGGCCTATCTATACTAATCTCAATTTGGTGTGTTGTTGTGTAGGTCTATTTATGCACATCTCAATTTGGTAGGTTGTTGTGTAGGCATATCTATACACATCTTAATTTGGTAGGTTGTTGTGTAGGTCTATTTATGCACATCTCAATTTTGTAGGCTGCTGTGTAGGTCTATTTATGCACATCTCAATTTGGTAGGCTGTTGTGTAGGCCTATTTATGCACATCTCAATTTGGTAGGCTGCTGTGTAGGTCTATTTATGCACATCTCAATTTGGTAGGCTGCTGTGTTGGTCTATTTATGCACATCTCAATTTGGTAGGCTGTTGTGTAGGTCTATTTATGCACATCTTAATTTGGTAGGCTGTTGTGTAGGCCTATTTATACACATCTCAATTTGGTAGGTTGTTGTGTAGGCCTATCTATACACATCTCAATTTGGTAGGTTGCTGTGTAGGCCTATCTATACACATCTCAATTTGGTAGATTGTTGGGTAGGCCTATCTATACACATCCTAATTTGGTAGGCTGTTGTGTTCTGAGTAGGCCTAACTATACACATCTCAATTTGGTAGGCTGTTGTGTAGGCCTATCTATACACATCTCAATTTGGTAGGTTTTTGTGTTCTGGGTAGGCCTATCTATACACATCTCAATTTGATAGGTTGTTGTGTTCTGGGTAGGCCTATCTATACACATCTTAATTTGGTAGGTTGTTGTGTAGACCTATCTATACACATCTCAATTCGGTAGGTTGTTGTGTTCTGGGTAGACCTATCTATACACATCTCAATTTGGTAGGTTGTTGTGTAGGTCTATTTATGCACATCTCAATTTGGTAGGCTGCTCTGTAGGTCTATTTATGCACATCGCAATTTGGTAGGTTGTTGTGTAGGCCTATCTATACACATCTCAATTTGGTAGGTTGTTGTGTAGGCTTATCTATACACATCTCAATTTGGTAGGTTGTTGTGTAGGCCTATCTATACACATCTCAATTTGGTAGGTTGTTGGGTAGGCCTATTTATGCACATCTCAATTTGGTAGATAGCTGTGTAGGTCTATTTATGCACATCTCAATTTGGTAGGCTGATGTGTCGGTCTATTTATGCACATCTCAATTTGGTAGGCTGTTGTGTAGGTCTATTTATGCACATCTCAATTTGGTAGGCTGTTGTGTAGGCCTATCTATACACATCTCAATTTGGTAGGTTGTTGTGTTCTGGGTAGGCCTATCTATACACATCTCAATTTGGTAGGTTGTTGTGTTCTGGGTATGATATCTATACACATCTTAATTTGGTAGGCTGTTGTGTTCTGGGTAGGCCTATCTATACACATCTCAATTTGGTAGGCTGTTGTGTAGGCCTATCTATACACATCTCAATTCGGTAGGTTGTTGTGTTCTGGGTAGACCTATCTATACACATCTCAATTTGTTAGGTTGTTGTGTAGGTCTATTTATGCAAATCTCAATTTGGTAGGCTGCTGTGTAGGTCTATTTATGCACATCTCAATTTGGTAGGCTGTTGTGTAGATCTATCTATAAACATCTCAATTTTGGTAGGTTGTTGTGTAGGCCTATCTATACACATCTCAATTTGGTGTGTTGTTGTGTAGGTCTATTTATGCACATCTCAATTTGGTAGGTTGTTGTGTAGGCCTATCTATACACATCTCAATTTGGTAGGTTGTTGGGAGGGCCTATCTATACACATCTCAATTTGGTAGGCTGTTGTGTTCTGAGTAGGCCTAACTATACACATCTCAATTTGGTAGGTTGTTGTGTAGGCCTATCTATACACATGTCAATTTGGTAGGTTGCTGTGTAGGCCTATCTATACACATCTCAATTTGGTAGGTTGTTGGGTAGGCCTATCTATACACATCCTAATTTGGTAGGCTGTTGTGTTCTGAGTAGGCCTAACTATACACATCTCAATTTGGTAGGCTGTTGTGTAGGCCTATCTATACACATCTCAATTTGGTAGGTTTTTGTGTTCTGGGTAGGCCTATCTATACACATCTCAATTTGATAGGTTGTTGTGTTCTGGGTAGGCCTATCTATACACATCTCAATTTGGTAGGTTGTTGTGTAGACCTATCTATACACATCTCAATTCGGTAGGTTGTTGTGTTCTGGGTAGACCTATCTATACACATCTCAATTTGGTAGGTTGTTGTGTAGGCCTATCTATACACATCTCAATTTGGTAGGTTGTTGGGTAGGCCTATTTATGCACATCTCAATTTGGTAGGTTGCTGTGTAGGTCTATCTATACACATCTCAATTTGGTAGGTTGTTGGGTCGGCCTATCTATACACATCCTAATTTGGTAGGCTGTTGTGTTCTGAGTAGGCCTAACTATACACATCTCAATTTGGTAGGCTGTTGTGTAGGCCTATCTATACACATCTCAATTTGGTAGGTTTTTGTGTTCTGGGTAGGCCTATCTATACACATCTCAATTTGATAGGTTGTTGTGTTCTGGGTAGGCCTATCTATACACATCTCAATTTGGTAGGTTGTTGTGTAGACCTATCTATACACATCTCAATTCGGTAGGTTGTTGTGTTCTGGGTAGACCTATCTATACACATCTCAATTTGGTAGGTTGTTGTGTAGGCCTATCTATACACATCTCAATTTGGTAGGTTGTTGGGTAGGCCTATTTATGCACATCTCAATTTGGTAGGTTGCTGTGTAGGTCTATTTATGCACATCTCAATTTGGTAGGCTGCTGTGTAGGTCTATTTATGCACATCTCAATTTGGTAGGCTGTTGTGTAGGCCTATCTATACACATCTCAATTTGGTAGGTTGTTGTGTTCTGGGTAGGCCTATCTATACACATCTCAATTTGGTAGGTTGTTGTGTTCTGGGTAGGATATCTATACACATCTTAATTTAGTAGGCTGTTGTGTTCTGGGTAGGCCTATCTATACACATCTCAATTTGGTAGGCTGTTGTGTAGGCCTATCTATACACATCTCAATTCGGTAGGTTGTTGTGTAGGCCTATCTATACACATCTCAATTCGGTAGGTTGTTGTGTTCTGGGTAGACCTATCTATACACATCTCAATTTGTTAGGTTGTTGTGTAGGTCTATTTATGCACATCTCAATTTGGTAGGCTGTTGTGTAGGCCTATCTATACACATCTCAATTCGGTAGGTTGTTGTGTTCTGGGTAGACCTATCTATACACATCTCAATTTGTTAGGTTGTTGTGTAGGTCTATTTATGCACATCTCAATTTGGTAGGCTGTTGTGTAGGCCTATCTATACACATCTCAATTCGGTAGGTTGTTGTGTTCTGGGTAGACCTATCTATACACATCTCAATTTGGTAGGTTGTTGTGTAGGCCTATCTATACACATCTCAATTTGGTAGGTTGTTGGGTAGGCCTATTTATGCACATCTCAATTTGGTAGGTTGCTGTGTAGGTCTATTTATGCACATCTCAATTTGGTAGGCTGCTGTGTAGGTCTATTTATGCACATCTCAATTTGGTAGGCTGTTGTGTAGGCCTATCTATACACATCTCAATTTGGTAGGTTGTTGTGTTCTGGGTAGGCCTATCTATACACATCTCAATTTGGTAGGTTGTTGTGTTCTGGGTAGGATATCTATACACATCTTAATTTGGTAGGCTGTTGTGTTCTGGGTAGGCCTATCTATACACATCTCAATTTGGTAGGCTGTTGTGTAGGCCTATCTATACACATCTCAATTCGGTAGGTTGTTGTGTAGGCCTATCTATACACATCTCAATTCGGTAGGTTGTTGTGTTCTGGGTAGACCTATCTATACACATCTCAATTTGTTAGGTTGTTGTGTAGGTCTATTTATGCACATCTCAATTTGGTAGGCTGTTGTGTAGGCCTATCTATACACATCTCAATTCGGTAGGTTGTTGTGTTCTGGGTAGACCTATCTATACACATCTCAATTTGTTAGGTTGTTGTGTAGGTCTATTTATGCACATCTCAATTTGGTAGGCTGTTGTGTAGGCCTATCTATACACATCTCAATTCGGTAGGTTGTTGTGTTCTGGGTAGACCTATCTATACACATCTCAATTTGTTAGGTTGTTGTGTAGGTCTATTTATGCAAATCTCAATTTGGTAGGCTGCTGTGTAGGTCTATTTATGCACATCTCAATTTGGTAGGCTGTTGTGTAGGCCTATTTAAACACATCTCAATTTGGTAGGTTTTTGTGTAGATCTATCTATAAACATCTCAATTTTGGTAGGTTGTTGTGTAGGCCTATCTATACACATCTCAATTTGGTGTGTTGTTGTGTAGGTCTATTTATGCACATCTCAATTTGGTAGGCTGTTGTGTAGGTCTATTTATGCACATCTCAATTTGGTAGGTTGTTGTGTAAGCCTATTTATACACATCTCAATTTGGTAGGTTGTTGTGTAGGCCTATCTATACACATCTTAATTTGGTAGGTTGTTGTGTAGGTCAATTTATGCACATCTCAATTTGGTAGGCTGCTGCGTAGGTCTATTTATGCATATCTCAATTTGGTAGGCTGTTGTGTAGGCGTATTTATACACATCTCAATTTGGTAGGTTGTTGTGTAGACCTATCTATACACATCTCTATTGGGTAGGTTGTTGTGCTCTGGATAGGTCTATTTTTACACATCTCAATTTGGTTGGTTGTTGTGTAGGCCTATCTATATACATCTCATTTACACATACTTAAGGAAATATAAGGAATAGATTCAGCCTAATTATTCATCCATTTATATCTTACACAAAAACGACTCTTTTCTAAATTTACTTTTGTATAGTGCAGGTTATTTTTTTCTAAAGTTCCCACTTGAATTTGTTCACATTTATATAGTGCAGGTTATATTTTCTAAAAGCACCACTTGCATTTTTTCAAATTTATACAGTGCAGGTTATATTTTCTAAAAGCACCACTTGAATTTATTCAAATTTAAACAGTGCAGGTTATACTTTCCAAAAGCAGAACTCTAATTTGTTCACATTTATATAGTGCAGGTTATATTTTCCAAAAGCACCAATTGAATAAGTTCACATTTATATAGTGCAGGTTATATTTTCCAAAAGCACCACTAGAAGTTGTTTCTATATTTAGAATGTGAGAAACATTCCTACGGAAAAAACTGTACGGAGACTTGCAGCGAAAACTGCGTCGACCAGCTGTGTAACATGACAGATGGCGTCTGTTTAAGCTGTCCTGTCGGGCGTCTGGGCGACTTCTGCGATAAAGGTGGGTGGAAATGCAGACGTCATGCACAGTTTGCTGTGAATATATCCCGAAAATTAAGCCAGGCAATAGTTTTCTTGGCTCAAGTAAACATGTTTGAATTGTTTAAACAAGGTGAAAAAATAACATGCAGTTTTATGTTTCAGATAGTTAGGAACTATATATATATATATATATATATATATATATATATATATATATATATATATATATATATATATATATATATATATATATATATATATACATACATACATAAATAAATAAATATATATATATATTCATATATATATATATATATATATATATATATATATATATATATATATATATATATATATATATATATACTAGCCGTCCCGGCCAGGCCCTGCTCTGGCTTCTGTGAAAAACCTTTCTGTTAAAGACCATTACCTGTGTGTTTAGTAATCATCATAAACCCGGCATTGCCCACCCAAACCACAACCAACCAAAACAACAAAACGCAAACATAACGCTAACACAATTACAAATAAAAACGAAAACAAAAAACCTAACAACAAACCCAACCACAACCACAAACACCAATACAAACACAAAGAAAAAACAAACAAAAAAGCAAACGAAAACAAAAACCTAACAACAAACCCAACCACAAACACCAATACCAACAAAAAAAAAAAAAAAAACGAAAAAGCAAACGAAAACAAACCAAATCCAAACGCAAAACCAACCAAAAACACAAATACAAACCCAAACAAAAAAAAAAACACAAACAAAAACGAAAAAAGAAAGAACAAAAACGAACCAAATCAAAACGCAACCACTAACGCAAACCCACCTAAACACAAAGAAAACACTAACGCGAACATAAACGCCCGGGGCGGAATCACCTGTTTTAGCTTAATGAACGACTATAGTACCCCAACTTATTCACAGTCTTTTGCACTCACTTAAACGAACGCGCCTGTTTCAATTTAATAAACAATTTTAATACTCCAAGCTTATCCGTAAAATACCTACAACATTTGCACTTGATCAATCCCCGCTAATTATGTAATTATTTTTTTTCCCAACACCAAAACAAAGTAATTAAAAAGTAAATTATTTTCACGGAATGCAATTGTTTTATAAAGGGAAGTAATTGTGTTTTTCCTAATTTATCAAAGGGAAGTAAGTGCTATAGGACTAAATAAAGACATAATTAGAATTTTTGTAAAAGATGATATTTTTTTTAAAACTTGTGTTTAATGAACATGCCGACAATTATTACTATAATTTGAAAAATGAAAATTATTTCCCAACACTTTCAATGGTAATTTTTTAGCTCATAAATTTAGACAAATGCGCACGATAATTTTTCTAACACTTAAAATCGTACAATTCCAACGACATACAAATGCATTACATACAGAACTGAGCTTTATATATTAGATATATATATATATATATATATATATATATTCATATACATGTGTGTGTAAATATATGTATACATAGATGTGTGTTTGTGTGAACCTGTTCCTGTGTTTGCGTGTGTACCTGCGTGTGTTTTATCAGCCACCTACATTGCCCTCAGACCCATCAAGTATTGGGGCGAACGAGAGCAACAGAGAAGAGAAATGCAGCAGCAACTGCGACCGTCGGGCCTGCGATCCAGCAACACGGAAATGTTTTGATTGTGTGTCCGGAAGGGTTGGAGATTTCTGTGAAAATGGTAAATTGGGGCAACATTGCAGCTTGTAGTTTCATGCAATTGATCATGGAATGAATTGTTATCGTTTATTTTTTTATTGTTGTATGCCTATGGACATCTTTCTACAGTAAAGTAATATTCCTTATTCGGACCATAGGTACACAGATTTTGTATGCCTTTTTAATGTTCATATACTTAAGTAATAATACTTATTCGGACATTTGATCCATATATAATCCTCTTTAGACCTTGCGATCAATTGGGCAGATGGAATAGATTTCATATTTTAGACATAAGAAGGGCAGGTGTGGTCAGCACCTTGCACAACCGCCTTTATTTTCCCTAACATGAGACTCACGGACGTTCTACTACTTGCACCCGGATTCGAACTTTCGGGTTAGCAGTAGAGCGATCTACCTCTTCGGCCACGCCGTCCCATACATTCAAACAATAGGGAATTTAAATTAAACCGACATTTCTTTGTCAAAGGCCTTTGAAATCGTAATATAGTCAGCAATATTTCAGGTGACTTTAACTTCCCCAATGCGAGTCAGGTACCCATCACGGCTGGGTGGACTCAGTTGTGTCTTTAAACAGATTTGAATGATTTTGGGGTGCTGACATAACTGACGTTTATGGCCTAACCTACCTGAGAAAAAACAATTATGTTGTAATGTCATTAAAACAAATGTGTAGCATAGGTCCACACAAATAAGGGTGTTTGATATGCAGACACATTTGTTGCATAAAGCCAAAAAGTACAATCTGCCTCTCGTTAAAATAAATCAGTTGCTTATGATTGCTATAAGTGTGAAGATGAAACAAACATGAATTTTAAAACCACTTTAACCCTTGGACTACTAGAACCACTTTAACCCTTGGACTACTAGAAGCACTTTAACCCTTGGTCTACTAGAACCACTTTAACCCTTGGACTACTCGAACCAATTTAACCCTTGGACTACTAGAACCACTTTAACCCTTGGACTACTAGAACCACTTTAACCCTTGGACTACTAGAACCACTTTAACCCTTGGGCAACTAGAACCACTTAAACCCTTTTAGAAACACTTTAACCCTTGGATAACTAGAACCACTTTAACCCTTTTAGAAATACTCTAACCCTTAAACTGGAACCACTGTAACCCTTTAACTTCCACAGAGTGTAGCAACACAACGTTCGGGCCCAACTGCCAACAACAATGTGACCCTAATTGTGTGCCCGAGTCTACTGAGATCAAACGCCTGTGTGACGTCATCACCGGCGATTGTCTTCTCAAAAGCAAATTTCCAGATGACCCAAATGCCGAGGGTGAGTGTGTGGTCGAGACGAGCTTGCCAAGAGAAAGTTTGAACATCCAGGACAAGGAATCGATTGGTTTTTCTAAACATATTCTTTGATATTAATGGTAGTTTTAATGTGTCTTCATTTTACATGGGCAGACACTCTACCTTGAACATAGTGTTTCTTGCAGACTTTCTCCGGGGGGTGGGGGCGTGGGGGAGAGGGGCACTTGAAACTTTCGGGGGGGGGGGGGCGTATAAAAGCATACATACATAATTTTTATCTGATCGAGGTGGGGGGGGGGGGGGTGGGCTTGACATTCTTCGTAAAGGGGAGGGGGGTGGAAGAGAAATGGTGCCTGAAAGAAACTCTGCTTGCACACTTAACATTACTATACTATGCCCAATGATATTTTAATATGAGTATGTTCACACGTGCGTTAGTTACTTCTTCTTAATTATGTTTCAATACATATTTGTATATACATTCCTGTATTGTTCAAGAATGTATGCTCACAATGTTTTATATATGACACGATGTAAACCATTTACAGAAGGCTCCGACGACACATCTGGTGGAATGCATTTGTTGTTTGTGCTACCCGCATTATTTATTGCAATCCTGGTCATCTTTATATTCATATTTAGGTTCGTAGTGTTCTTTAAAGTACTAATTTAACGTGCCATTCATCTGGTCTATTTCAATACATTTGCTTATGTGATCAGACTGAATAAGATGCGTAGTTTAGTTAACTATCAGTAACCTAATCCCTTTTTAAAGACGGGTCTAATATCGGACCCGTGTAAAAAAAATTCCCCGAGAAGATATTAGATAAGTCTCAAGTATCAACCCCCAGGCAGATGAGGCTCGATATCTGGGGGCAGATACTATAGAGAAAACTCCAAAATCAGACAACTGCTGACTTGTAGCTTTTCTAGGTTGGATCAAACGCTATGGAAGCAAATCCAAAAAGAAAAGCAAAAAAAAAAGGAAAAAAAAGCGTGAGCCAACGGTATATATGTCTCATAACAATTTGACAAGTAATATTGAATTGTAATGGAACGGAATCCCCCCAGACACTAGAATTAAAAACGAAGAAAAAGAAAAAAATATAGATTACCGTATAGAATATATTTTAATACACATTTCCTCCATCTGTCTAGAAAAATGAAAAACGTTTTACCGGTGGATGTCCCAGGTAAATTCTGTTCTGTTTCATTTTATTCTGTCTCTCGATTTTAACGATCTCTTTCTTATTGTATTGTATATAAGAATGCTTTTTATTGTTTTAAAGCACACACACACACACGCAAACACATACACATACACACACACGCACGAAAATACATACATACACACAAACACACGCACGAGCATCCGCTCACGGATAAGCATACATAAACATGTGTATAAGCGTATATATATATATTATATATATATATATATATATATATATATATATATATATATATATATATATATATATATATATATATATATATATATATATATATATATATATATATATATATATATATACATTTTATATATATATAAATATAAATTTATATATAAATAAATATATATATATATATATATATATATATATATATATATATATATATATATATATATAATGTTTTGGGTGTGCATGCGTATTTCTGTGTGTGTGAGAGGTTTTTTTGGAGAAAAAAGATATATATATATATATTATATATATATATATATATATATATATATATATATATATATATATATATATATATATATATATATATATGTATGTATATATATATATAATATGTATATATAATATTTGTAAATAAATATATATATAATATATATAAATAAATAAATAAATAAATAAATAAATAAATAAATAAATAAATAAATAAATAAATAAATAAATATATATATATATATATATATATATATATATATATATATATATATATATATATATATATATATATAATATATGAATATAAATATATAAATAAATAAGTAAATAAGTAAATAAATAAATAAATAAATATATATATATATATATATATATATATATATATATATATATATATATATATATATATATATTATATATATATATTATATATGTGTGTGTATGTGTGTGTATGCATGCGTGTTTCTCTGTGTGAGATTGTTCTTTTTGGATAAAAAAAAACCATTGGAGATTTGTCGTGCTTTCAATAAACCTGCCTTTGTACAAACGTCCGTCGCCTATATGTGTGTCCACGATGTGTTAAAGCAGTGTGTGTTTTATGTAGCGCCGAATGACATGACCAAAACATCGACGTCAGTGCCCATCGCGAATCTCAAGGTCTACATACTGGGACACACCAGGGAATTGTTTCTCAACCAGTTCTATGTAATCATGAAAACTATTTGAATTATTTCTTGTTTCGTTAATTTTTTTTTTTATGTTGATCGTGTTGCTTTACAGTAGATTATAAAAAATACTTAAAGACAAATAAGTGGTCATCCATAAATGACGTCACACTTGTAGGGGGAGGGGGGTCCGTAATTTTGTGACGATGTGTGATGAGGGGGGGGGGGGGGGTTCAGATGTTGTGACGTCACAATTTTGCATTATAAAAAAGCAATGTTAGAAACGAATTTTAGACTTTCTTTTCGCGTTTTAGATAACTGTTTTTAATAAATTGTAATAGTTTAGACAAGATTTTGGAAAAAATTTCGATGTTTAAAAAAAATTCAACTGCAATTTTGAAGGGGGGTTGTAGGTTGAGGTGTGACGTCAATTTGCGGGGGGGGGGGGGTCTGGCTTTTTGTGACGACGTGTGACGGAGGGAAGGGGGAGGTAAATAGTGTCAAAAAGAGTGACGTCATTTATGGATGACCCCTAATACGGCTGTGTTGATTTTTAATATGATAGTATTTATTTTCTAAAGTCTATACCGATTGTGCATGATGGTGAAAAAACGGGGAAAAAGAAAGCTGCTGGTACTTGTAAGTCGTCGTTATTTCTTTTTTATTTTTTTTATCATCC